TGGACGAGCGCGCACTAATGACGCCATAAGGATGCGCAACGCAAATGTGAGGAATGACCTTAACCTTGGATTCAATGGTGATGGATTGGTATAAAGAAAAGAAACCAAATTTTAATGCGTAAAATATGACAGCACCTGCTATCATCAAACTCTGCTATTCTCATGCGATGAATGTCAACATCAGTGTGTGCCTTGGCAACAATGGACACTTCACCACCCCTAATGGCATGGCTGACATCCCACACCACAACCATCTAACAATAACAATCACAATATGTATTGTAAGTACATGAAACAGTAAGTAAAGGAGATTAACAACTTGAAATGTTGTTAGTAGTAGTATTGCATTGACTGAAAGGAACAATAATTATTATTAATGGACATTCCATGAGAAAAGGACACATCTTCATATCACACCACCCACATGTTGACTTGCTGATTACATGATGTGTTCTCAAGGTCACAATAATTTATAGGGACCTTTGAATTGGAGTACATGTAAATGGATCAAGTAAAAGTATAGATTTAGCATTTCAATCCAGTTACATTCCCAGGGTCCTTCTCCTCCCTGTTGTTGACAAGTTGAAAAAATGATTATTGCTTCAAGATTGCTGTGAAAAGTGATAATCAAAAGCATCGGTGTTACGTTTGACAGGTCAAACTCATACTCCATCTCATAATCACATCTGAAGGTCCCCAAAATCTTCATGAGTACCACATACAGTCTTTAAGTTAACATTTCTGACAGTTATTTGAATGTTCATCTGACCTTGAAACTAGTTCACTTAAATGTGATCTACTTTCCAGGTCAGAAGAACATTCAAATAAATAGATAAGAATATATTTATTTTATTCTTCTATATGGTGACCATTGTGAACTCCATAGCAAAACAACTTCAGGAATTTTCTTAACANTCCGCCAATATTGTTGTTCAAATCCGAAACCACAACCACATCCAGAAACAGAAGTGTAAAAGTTCAAAGGTAGACTGGTAAATGTGAATGCCAGAGTTAATTTCACACAAATAGTAAAGAAGGCAACATGGTTGATGACTATAGCGCAGTACAATTCCAGTTAAAGTCTCACACCTGAGTTTAAATGAGCTTCGTTCGAAAAAAGAAATAATTTGGATGAACTCATTAACATACCAACCAAGGCTGAAGAAATATCTATGATCCAAATTTTGTTTAGAACCCAAGATTCGAACATCAAGACAGGCACAATCCAGAATCCGCGCCAAAATTCACAGCTGATCCACAATCCACTGTGTTTTCAAAATCCGCGAATCCGCTCGATTTACCGCAAAAATCCACAATCTGTGTGCTTTTTAAAGACCAAATCCGTCGATCCAAAAACCTATTCACCCCCCTCAACCAACTAGAAGATTGCCAAAAATACTCTGCGACATGTCATATTTTTAACTCTCTTCTCAGTGTTTGAATATGTTGTAAAACACAGTCTTTCATGTTTGATAAATTACTCCAAAGATTATTATGCTTATTACCTTATACAGTGTACATTATGCACTTCAGCTCTGAACATAGCAGTGCATTTTCTCAAGTGGTACTTCCATATTCTGATAACAGAAGGGGAGCCTGTCTGGGCTGAAGCTAAAATATCTGTTTGGCCATCAAATGCCAGAGCAGAAACCTGCAAATTTTTGGTGATGTAAAGAGGTATAGAATTAATGATTGGTTTGAGGTTGAAGAAAACCAGCCAAAAATCTTATAGAAACTTGGAGAACCAACAATTCATCAGTTCTCACCTGGTGGGCATCAGAGAATTGATTTTTAATGCAGTTTCACGTAAATGCAATTTAACAGAGTTACATGTAACAACAAAGAATGCCTGCGTTCCTGTAGTTGTCAGCAGTGTTTTGATATGTGCATGCACCAGGATTCCATGTGCTCCTTGACTGTAACATGTTGGCAGCCTTCACAGTGATAGTGTTTACAGTGACTGTTGCTTTGCAAGTGAACATGTCTTCAAGCATTCCCCCTTACTTCCCTCCCTCTTTCCACTATTAATTCAGTGAGATGGGTGCCTGTCTCCCCTTCCGCGTGGGGGCTCATGGCTTGGTTCCCAGGATTTGCCAGCCATGGGAGTGGTCTCCATCTAGGAGCTGGCTGCCAATAGTCCCAGGGTATCCAATCAATGAAATCGATGTCAATTAATCAATTGATATTGATAATTGATGGCGAAAATTTGTGTGGTTATTCATTGGTATCGATTTTCAATAGCAATCTATAGATAAATTGATATCGATTGGTACCAACTGGTTGCAATGAGAGTCTTTGACGATGCACCTTATATTCAGTAAAGCCTCTTCCTGGACTTCTTGTGCAGACATAATGATATGTAAAGGCAATGACAGGCAAGTGGGCAATTCGAGTACACGTGCAACGGGGTATATTCTTTGCGTTGAGAAGACTGGGTTGGAATTGTATTACAAATTTTGTCCCCAGGGCTTCCTAAAAATGGCAGATGATCAGATGATAGCAAGACAATAAATGAGCTGCCATTTAATCACTGAGAATTTACATGTAGTACTGGTAGTAATCGATAGATACTTAGCAAGACCCAGTTACATTGTATAAAACAGTCCAATTGGGCTGCAAATTTTGCAGCCAGACATCCAAAACAAAGGAAAATACACCAATCAAGCTTACTTTTCCTTTGTTTGGATGTCTTAAGTATAACTGGCAGCCCAGTTGCTAAGACTTTACTCATACCTTATCCGTATGGCCCATAAAGAACTGTTGCTGCCCAGATGACACATCCATTGATACGATGATTGCATGGCAAGGATAGACTACACAGCCACCATTCTTTGTCCATAAAGCCTTTACAAGAGAAAAAAAGAACCTACATGTCACAAAAAAGATATTTACATGTACATCATTTCATCAGTTTTATCGATAGATTTACATGGAACTGTTAAGGACTAAAATTAATAAACATGCTACATTTATCTAATTTCATGTTCCCTGAGTACAAAGGCACAATACAACAACAACTGCAACAGTTTATTTGTAAATGTACCATATAAAAAAATAATATTTTATATAATATATACATGTATGACAAAAAGGTGACATGGAACCTGAAGTAACTAATTATACAAAGCTAAACTAGTTAGGAGTGCATTAAATAATTCAAACAAGTGACTATCTTTATTTATCAGCTACATTACCTCATCGGAGGTACCACCTCCAAACCCTACTACTCTTTTCAGTGACAAAATGGGATCTGGTTTAAGAGTCTGCAAAAGAAAAGAAAACTCAAAATAACAGATTTATTACAGAGTGCAGAGAACACCAGTTTTCAAACTTTCCCTATGATGTCCTAGCCCAAAAATCATTCTCACTAGCCCTGAAAAATGTCTTCTGTCATAACACCTGAGGCTTACCATTGTTCCTCCAGGTTCATTTGATACAAAAATTACATTACCTTCATAGTCCAACTGGAAAGGGCTACAAACAATACTTCAGATATTACCCCTCTCACCGTGAAGTTTCCTGCCTTTGCAACCTTTGGTATTTCCACTTTTTCTACCTACAGAGTCCAGCAAAAGAAAAAAAAAAACATAGAACTTTAACTTCAGTACTCATAATATTCAGACCTTATCGCATTTTTTTAGCATGTGCCACAATGGTATATCAGGTGAGCTTAGTCATTGCATGGTTCATATTTCGTAAGATGTAGTCACATCAAAATACCCATGGTGTGACCAATTGAGCCTGAAGTGCTGCCAAAGTGTACCAAAAAAGGTACAATAGGTATTTTCATACCCACTCTTGGCCAAGTAACCACAATATCCTAGCCATAGCAGGTCAGTGACTTGATATTGCAGGATATCAGGACAGTAGACAGAGATTTTGAATGGCTAATACAAGTAAGTATGGGTTATTGACCAAGTGTGAGGTCAAGATGGCTGGATATTGGCTAAGTTCTCTTTTTGCGTGTTTATGGACCGAGACGGAGTCGAGGTCCAAAAACTTGCAAAAAAAGAACGAGGCCAATATCCAGCCATCTTGACCGAACAAGCTTGGTCAATACAGGATTTATTATATGGCTTTCAGGGAAATTTTTCTTGCAGGAGACGGCGGGTAGTCCCGAGCGGGCAAGATAGCTTCATCTTGCCTGCTCTGGTAGCCAATCACAGCACAGGATTTGATTCATCTTGCCCGTTCACAGAGCTAGCCATATAATAATATTGTATAATTGGGTATACACTGTAGTAAACAGCAGTAATCAAAGAAGAGTAAGAAAATCATTGACATTAGTTTGTAGAATGCGAGTGGTAAATACAGGATGATGATAAAATGCAGTGTGTGACATTTGGTGTTTCAAGTATTGAATCATTGAATACTGTACTGTTCATCTCAAAACGAATATTGCAGCAAAGAATAAAATCAAAATTCAATGACAGTGACAGTACAGCCTTAAACATTAAATCCTATACCTTATCTTTTTCCTTTTGCTGTTGAAGATTAATAACAGTTTTGCTTGGATGTGCATATACATGCACTTCTCCACTGTTGGCATCTACCAATTTGGCTCCACGGACCCCCACAGTAGGAAGAGCAGTAGGAATTACATGTCTTCGCTACAATAGAAAGACATACATGCATTAGTATAAAATATGGGAACAAATCACATGTATGCAAGGGGAATCCCTCACTTATTTGGATTTTAAAGACATTACTTTTCAAACAAATGTTATAAGCATTTAGAACAATACATGTAATCAATCCATGTTTGGTCAAAATTTCTCTAGACATCATTATCTTCTCTGTACAATGTAAGTATCAAGAAACATAGGCACTCCTCCCTATTACTTACCAATATGGTATTCCAGTTAGTATATTGATTAGTACTGAAATTACTGCAAGTGTTGTATTTAGTGTTAGTAATTTGTACGGTTGTATATTAATCTCATTCTCAGATCTCNAATCGATAGTGTCGACTGACACTACCTATAGTAAACATGATCCAAAAAAAGTGTCCACAATGTAACCCATACCTTGCCTTCGCCTCTTGCATAAATACTTCCCAAGGTCTCTTGCGGTGGCTTTCCACGCACATCAACATGATTGACCTGATTTAACTTTGTCCTTTTCTCCTGATAATGAGCACTTTCCTCCCAAGAATTGACATCAGCTACATCATCTTTATGGCGAGCGAGTGTAGACTTGACATTTGCCATGATTCCAAACTGAGCAATTTTAGAATCAGGTGGAAACTTGATATAGTCATACAGTTCATGCCAATCTGCTCCCTTTGGTAAGGGAAATGTCATTTCTCTTGGCAAGGGACTTACACCTTGGTCCAGCAAGCCTAACTTTCTGGCTTCAGAAGCAGATATCCCAGGCATATAATCTATATCACTCGTGAAGAGTCCTTTAAGAAACATGTTGGCACAGAAGCGCATGGTCTTCATGTATGCATACTGACGGTTTAAGTAAACAGAGAGGATGTATCGGAAGTCTAGTACCAAAACAGTCCAACGAGTTGTCTGAGAAGTTGTGCCAACAAGACCTGATAATTTAACAATAAAATAAAACAAATTAGCACAGTTGTTTTAACTTCCATTTGATGTTGATGTTTCTACCTTGAAAAATTTCTACCTTGAAAATTTCCTTATAATACTCATTTTAAAACAAAATCTTAAACAGCACTGCCCATCAACATGGCTCACTGAATGCTAGTGCTTAAGAAAGGTACAGTACATGAATCTCAAGCTAAAAGGTACCCAGCGATTCACCAATTACTAAACTCATCTACATGTATGTTTGGATAAATACAAAGACAATGAAACAGTAGTAATAAAAGGGTCTTGCTTAAAGTGCATATGACATGAAAAATAATTTCTGCTTATTTGAAAGGCCTTTCAAAATACAGAAGAATRGCATTTTTCTTTTTAAAATATCTTTCTTCATTTTAGAGATATTGACGTTTTTCTGTTATGCAAATTAGATCAGTGATGACGTCATCTTGTTTGCAACTGAAAATGGTAAAATACTGAATAAACAATATCTCTAGGAATATTGAAGCAGTGTTCTTGAAACTTGGCACCACGAATGTACATCACGAAAGAAACAAAATGACAAGTTAAGCTGTTCTTGGATTTGAAATTTTCTCCACAAGCAACAATACAGAGACACTTCATGAACCTCTGTAGAACATGGCACATTATCAGTGTGGAATATAACAGATTAACTCTCACACCTCTCCCAGTCATTATCAAGCGTGAAACAAACTGAGCACGCAAAGGGAAACTTTGCGTACTCATACTAACAATATACAGAATGAATGATTACACAATAATATCCTTACTGCTTATGGTGCCTGCTTCACCAAGAGTGACCTCATCAACCGAACCAGGAGGAGGGCTTGACACAAATGGAAACTGTAGCCATGTTGATGTTGATTTGAACTCCTTAAACATGTTAGAGAAGGAGATCCTGATGGTCAGTCCATCGTCTGTTGCCACGTCAATGTGTACCACAAAATACTTGCCAGCAATTGGTCGCAAGAGACAGTAGAGGTAGCGACCAGTCAATCCCAAGGACTGAGTGCTAGTGCGAGGAAACTGGATAAAGTTGCTGGCAGGAATTGAGCCTGTGATTCTGTAAACTGTGCCTTTCACCTGTTTGTCCTAAAGAGCAAAATATACTCTTTTTTAATGAATTTACTTCCTTGTGGTAATATCTTCTTTATCATAAATCAGATCTCATTTATTTGATAGCTAAGAACTTACATGAAAGGTTAAACAGTGAACACGTGAACATGTGTGTTACAGTGAACATGTGTTGAAGCAATTTACTGGGATATAGCCAGGAAAGAACTAAGCTGCATTTTTCAAGCCCAGTCCACTTTTCCTGTCTTTACACTTTAAAAGTTACCCCGAGTCTTTGTTTTCTAGACGAGTGAAATTTCAGCTGGTGAAAAGCTCTCTTTCAACTTAGCTGTCACCTGGCTCTCAGCTACATCTCTGAATCTACTGTACATCCATACCGTAGTTCCTACTCAAATATTACATGTACATGTCCATATACATGTAGTTCTGAACGAGTGCCAAGCATTATGCAAAAAGTTACTTTAAGTTCTTCCTTGAATAATAAAATGAGATTCTGTAGAAACCAATCCCCTGTCTAGTTCCCAGTCCAGCGTGGCCATCAAATGGTTAAATGGTTTTACTTTTGCGCAGGTTACATGTATGTACCTGTAAATGTAAAAGGGTTGGCTCACATTTAATAAGCAACGTTACCTTCATTTATGCCGTCTGTCACCGTATCCCGCAAATTGCAGTCAGGTAAATGTGACCTTTCATCATTTGTCTCATATTTCCAATACATGTTATTTCCAATGTTGTAATAATTTTTAGTTGTTCTGCTCTTAATGTAACATGTTTGTTCCATTTATTCTAAAACCATTGGCAGTGATTATGATTAGTTAAGAGTTGGCGGCGTCTATAATAAACTTCTTTATGACATACAATTATTGCTGGTACGTTGGTTATTGATTTAATTGGCCATGGTGACCAATTTGTACTTGAGCAATATTTCAACAACCTGGTGATACATGTACAAAGCAAAGCCTTTTGAACATTCCTGATTAGTGGTACACGCTCTCCCTTCATGTTTGACTCACCATAATGGTTGACACCTCGCCTTCTTTTGAGCACTTCTTCCATTCTCCAATGTTGAAATGTTTGAAGACATTCACATTAGGATGTTGCCAAACTTAAATTAAAGATGTACAATCTGCTATGAATAACTTTGACAGACTAATGAATGTGTTATGGAGGGAGTATCAACTTAATTCAGTAAGGGTAAGGAAGAAAAGGGTTTCATTTTGTCTAAAACAAGTCTGCACACACAGTTCTTATGCAATGTGAATGCATCTTTAACTTCCTCCAGTCTCCTTTCTATTTTCTCTCAATTATACAGTAGCTCAAGATGAGAGCCACAATATTGAGAACCGTGAAGAAGAGCTCACAAAACCAACTGTCGGTTAACTGTCAGCCAACAAACGGCCAATAGTCGGCCGACAGGTGTTTTAGGGAGCTGTTCTTTACAATTACCACATTTTGCTGATGGGACTGCTTTCTATATTTTAGCAGCTAATTGAAGCCCTAAGCTATAAGGGTAATATTCTGACATGGAACATGGAATAAACTGCATGGTGACAGCAACATGGAGGTTGATCAGTTCCATGACAGCAATGTGAGGACCTTCCAAAATTGTGATGAAATGGTTTGAAATTCAGATGGGAGACATGCATTGATGACCTTCCTTACTGAACCTTGAATACTTCTGACTGGCATCATATCATTTTCCAAGACAATACATGTCTAAAACTTTACCAGCGAAATCAAATGTAAATGTAGATGTAGAAGAACTGTCTGTAGAAAGAAGTAAGCTTTTTTAGCCATCAATTCTTTGTTTACTCAGATATTTATGGTCAGTGACTGTACCATATTACCTAAACCAGTTACTATAGTTTGTTCATTATCTGCAGTCATACATGTAAGTTCTCCTGAGCTTATGCCAGCCAAAGTGAGTAATAATAAAAACTTTCAAAACAGTAAACTAGCTTTTTCTCCCGGGGGAGGTACTTTGGGAATTTCTGGGTGGGGATGTACTGCTGTGACCCTGGAACCCTTAGCCTATACCAGAGCTAGTTCAGCTGAATTTTGCTAACCTATACTAAGGCTGATTTGCATAAATTTAAACTTGCCAATTTGATTTTTTTATATTTTTGAGTGGCAATTTCTGGTTTCCTTACCTTAGATAAAATCTTCAACCAACCAGTCAGTTTTGTGAAAAATGATACCCTATTCTAGACCCAAACGCTCTGATTTACATACCCTATCCTAGAGTAAACTGCTTGAAAATCATACCCTTCACAGCGGCACATACCTATATAGCCCATATATGGCAGTGCCCCCCGCCCGGGCCTTTTCTGTACGTTTAAGCTTACGACAGTTGTTTTACAGTGTTAGAATGGAAGTTTTTAAAAACAATGTTAAACTCTAAACGGGTTGTTCATGTTCAAGACCCTTAAGTTCAACTTACACTTCGACATCCTCAGCTTCTTCCTAAAGTCTTTTTCCAATTATTTTCATCTTCTTGGTCTCCAAAGATCAAAATAACTTGGGAAAATGCTTCCAAAATGGCCCCTGGTTCGCGCCATATTATTCGAAGACTATGCACTGGGCATGACAAAATCTCTAATCCGCCGGTCAGCTGTACAGTATGTGCGGGCTCATATATGTCTAGTAACACGAAAACAAAGATGGCGTCGAACAGGCAGCCCGTTGCCAAAGGAGGTTTGTGGACATCACATTCAGCTCCTGTGAGCAAGGAAACTCAAAACCTACTGAAAGGTAATACTAGATTTCTCAGAGATACCTCACAAAGATTTCCAGGCTTTTGATGTAATTTGATACCTGAGAACTTTCATTGACAGTTATGATGGAGGAATCGAAATTAACAAACTTTCAGCGGAGACAGTTGCAGGAAAACATGAAAAGTAAGTTCTGTGTTTGGGCAGCTACATAGAGACCAGGATAGAGACAATTTACTCTTGTACATGTAGATTGTGTTTCTTTATTCAAGTTTTGTGGATTAATCTGTGCCTTCAGAATACATTCAGCTCTTGATCATATCGTCGAAATATATAACCATTTGACAAAATTAATACCAGGGGATACCGCAATTTTGAAATGTGCGCCATCAAATTCAAAATTCTTGTAATCTCCGGCCAACTTAACCGTTACCGTGGCTTGCCAAGACATATCGCCATGCAACGATACCAAAGTGGTGTGAAGTACTTTCCTCTATGTGTCACTTCTTTCTTACTTCGCATCAAGAAGTCCCCTTCTCTCCCTCTCCCTCCGCCCCCCCCGCAAGGAAAAGGATTCTAGATTAGGGATTTTCTTGTTATCACAAGCCCTGGTTGTTCAAAGAGAGGATAATATTATCTGCCAGAGAAATCACTGTCCAGTGGATAGTGGATAGTGCAGTTTGTTTTGTTGACACTCATCTACTGGATATGCATTTAGTGGATGATGCTATCCACCCTTTGGGCCTAGATGAAAAGCCTCTGTGTTCTCCACATTATCATTCCTTCCCAAAATTTTTGTGACAAGACAACACTGAATAGCAAGTGCCAAACTAGGGTTATAATTTATCAATATAGCTTGGAAAATACATGTAGAACATGTAACATTGTTGTTTGTTTCTGCTTGTATTTTAGAAGGTGAATCTCTGCCCGTTGCTTGCAACCCCACAACCAGCAGAAATGGAAGAGTACAGCCAAGAAGCACACCAAAGAAATCCTTACCCAAAGTCATGAATGCCAGGCATCTCTCAGGTGGAAAGAGACCAAAGGAAGCAATTGACATTCAGCAAAGCTCAGTACCACAAGAAATTTACAAACCTCCTCCAGGAAGTATGTTCTGCATTAGTTGTTTTAATTCTCATCATCTGTCCGCTGCTTGACAATGTTTTGATATTGTAAAGAGAGATTACACATTGGTAAATCTTGTCCAGAATAAACCTCATGAGCATCCCCCCCCCCTCCACCCCCAACACAACCCTGTCATTTTCAAGCATCCTATTAAGTTGCAGAACTTCATGAAGGTCACATCAAGATCCTTAAGAGCCCTAGTCAAACACCTTGCCAAAATCTTTCAAAATCCTAGAGGAACCTTGAAAAGATCTTAGCATTTCATTTTTCTTTCATATTCTTGAAAGAGTCACACCAAAAAGCTTACTTTTTTTGTCTTCAACTATAGCAAGTATCATTCAGCTTTTCCACTCACCGAAGTTGTAGCCTCTGAAGTGCCTACTATCCTGAAGAAGTTCGTCTCGAAAGAGGCGACTTTGGAGGCCACCATTTTGAACTGTGCCCCTGTGTATGTGACATCATTCAGTCCGACTCAAAATTGGCAGCAAGGAGAAAAACCTGCTACTGACTTTGCATCCTTCACAAGGTCAGCAAAATGTATTTTTCCAAGCGATTATCCAGTTCACTATCTTCACTGCTATCATTTTCGGAATTTGGAGCATGTTTGGCTCAAAAATTAATATTACAGGTCAAGAGCAGCCATAACCCAGCGTGATAGTTAACAAGGCTTGCCAGAAGCCATTTAGAGAAAATCTCTTGGATGGAATGATATCACAAAAACGTGGCCTGACTGCTGAGTACTGTTCAAAATGGCAGCAATGATGTCAAATTTTGGGCTTCTTTGGAGACGAATATCATAAGGAAACCCTACACTTTAGAGGTTGAAACTTCGGTGAGTGGCTAAATTTAGTGCTAGGTTTTTATTAGCGTAGACAAAAAATATACGTTTTTTGGAATGACCTTCTCCTTTAAGGACCCTTTTACACTTTAGCAGGTCTAGACAGATCTTGTAAGATCTTTAATATTTCTCTCAATTTCCAGAGTTGATTTCTGAGAAAGATAAAAGAAGACTACAGAATGTGATGGCTTATGGTGAGGATGGTAAAAACATTGAAGATGTTCCAAGACAGAAAAAACCTTCCCCTAGAGAAATGGTGCAGGAAAAAGAAGTTGATCGATTTGATGAAGGTAATCAGTAATATGAAGAATGGTTTGTGGAGCAAGAAACTTTGTTATAAAACAAAATCTGATTTGGATTCTTGTAAACTAATTATCAGTTCCAAGACTTGTAACAGTTTTGGTAGGACATTTAGAATTTATTGACATTCATGTACAATGTACAGTGTATGACTGTTCTCTAACAACATTATCAACATATGCCACTTGTGTGTCACTTGTGTGTCATTTTCGTAGTTTGTCTTCAGATGTATGTGTTATCACCTGGCATAGTAGGCACGCAATGCGTGCAGAGCGCTAGGTAACTGAATTTCCTTTGTTTGCAATGCAGGCCTGTAATACTACAAATTTTATGTTACGTAGGGTAAGTTTTACCATTTTAGTGTATCAAACTCTTTTTTTTATTATAATTGTTTCTTTACAGTTCTTCAAGAAATAGAGGATAGAAAAGCTTTCTTAGATGAGATGGAAGAGCTTGGACAGGGCAAACAGTATAGAACAATAATATCAACAGAAATATCACAGGTAAATAACAATTACATTTTTCTGTAGTTGGAAACAGCCACAAGGTGCATGTGACAGCATTATGTAAAACTATAATGGTAGTGCATGAGTAGTGGAAAATTCGAGAAAGAGCTTATTTGAAATTTGGATCCAATGTCAAAGAAAAAATTTTGATCCAATGTCAGGCTTACCCACGGGTTGAGCTACAAAAGCTGAGCTCAGAAGGAGAAAAATGTGGGAAGTGAGAGTACAGGAATAGGAACACAATCAAGCCCTTTGTGCTGGGACATCATCCAGTGTCGTTACATGAAGATGCTGTGACCACCCTCTAGGTGCATTTTCAAAGGGATTGGTCAAAAGTTCATTTCAGTCAAACTTTGTTGTCAACATTTTGATATGCTGTGTATCAAGAACGGTGGAACGTTTTGCATTTATTCATGATGTCAACAAAATGTTGACAATAAGGCATAACAGCACTTGTCTAGAAGATTCCGAGGCCATTTGTCCAGGTGTAAGACTGTAATTTTGTAAACACTAGCTGAATGAGACAAAAATAGGGTAGTATTTGTTTAGAAATTTCACTCATATGAATCCCCTACCACTGGCAAAAATCATCAAGATATCAACCCCCTTGGACAGCCCGGTCAGGTAAGTTTGGTTACACAGTAATCACCTGATATACAACACAGTACAAAACACAACAAATTACTTTGAGCAATAAAAACATTACAGTGAGAAGAGAAACAGTGGCAATGGTTTACATGCATTTCTGTACTGGCAGAAATATTTTAATTACGTCTTCTTTACTCCACAGAAAATAAGAGAGCTTGAACTAATAGACAAAGAAAGAAGCAAAGAGCTCAACCTTGTTGAGTAACAAGAACCAGAGCAACAGTGACAAATAGTGTGGAGTGATCAAGAATCATGGCTGAAAAAATTGCAGAAAGTGTAAATTAAGCTTGTAGCTATGACTAAAAATGACAGGGGGGGTGAAGTGAATGCTGACAACAGGTCATTTCGAGTGATACATCTTGGGAGCTTTTTATCAGTTATTAATTATTAATAAGGAATTTGTGAAAGAGGTAAACAAAATTATCTTTGATTTTCTCTAAAAGGAATGTTTTGCTCTTGCTAGCGACATCAAAGATGGAGGACTTACATGTACAGCACCACATTTAGGTTCTATAGTAGAAACCCAGGCAGTACTTTGTTGTACAAAATTGGCAAGCTATCAACTGATATCTTGAACTTCTTCAAGGTAAATTTGTCTTGTGTTACAGTTACGATTTGAACAAATAGCTATAAAGCTCCCAACATTTTATGAAGAGTGCTCAGATATAAGAGTCGCAAAATGCTCTGCAGTTAATTACACAAGTGTACAGGATCTAAATGGACAAGACCTTTAACCAACTCTTCCTAGGAGCAGTAAATTTATTTGTATAGGAGGCATGTCTGAGCATTTTAAAAATCTTGTAGGTAAAGGAATTCTTAAAATGGGGAATCTAATCTCCTATAACAATGAAATTTTTGTCAAAAGTTCTTACAAGTTTTGCAATTTGATGCCCTTAGACTTGTTTCTTTGAGAAATGCCTTACCAGTTGAATGGCATGAATCAATGGCTTGCTAGTTTAAAGTGTACTTGTTGCAATGACATACAGACAACACTTTCGGATTTACTCACAATACATACTACAGCTACTTGTAAAAAACACTGTTTATTAAATTATATTTATTACATCGTAAAATTTTGTATCTGAGATATATTTATATACATTTGTCATAGTTAAGCATTATTTAATACACGTCTAACAATTTATGCAATCAATTAATTCACCCTGTGATTTACCCTTCCATTCCCAAGCCCAAGATTCAATTATTCGTAATTTATTATCTACATAGATATCTACATGTAACCATTTCTCCAAGAGTTGGTTGAGAAAATGTGGTGGTATACCAAGAAATAAGTTGTGCTAGTTAATGACGATTTTAAATATTTTCACTCGTGTGCAATTTGTCGCACCATGTGACTGAATATTCCCCAGCTAAAGTTGGGGAATATCCAAGTGATATTCCCCAATTTTCAAAACTGCGCATGTTGCAAATAGTATTTGAACAATAATAAACACGATTTGGCACGAGAATTTGGTTGGATATTTGTCATTGAATGTCCTCTAACTTTGTTCCTCAAAGCTCACAGATTTCCGCAAGCATAAACTGTTCGTTTCTCAGACAGATGTCCATGGACAAATATCCAAGCATATTTTCGCACCAAATGGAGGCTTCTGTTTATTTAGCCTGATATTATGAGGAGAAAGGTGATCATGGTCACTCTTGGGAATAAAAGGTTAGTAAGAACTGCATGCTTTTCACCAGCAAGACATCATAAAGAGAAATTCAATCACAGTCTTGCTCTTTCAGAACCACACTGACCTAAATAAATTATATCAAAAGATACAGATGGCTGTGAGTCAGACTCCATAGGGTCTGATCACTGTGAAATTTTGCTGGTTTGTAGCATTTCAAATGCAGTGAATAATTAAAATTATTGTCCCATCTAGAATGTGGTAAAACAAATCCCCACGCTTCCCCCATAGTTACCCAGTACAAACCCCTCAACTCCACCCCACCCAATTTTTGATGAAAACGAAATTTAAGCAGAAAAATTATGAACAAGACACAGAGATTGCTCTGTTAAGACACCTGCAAGTGTGAAAAGCCAACAATATTGCTTATAATAGCATAGCTCTGACAGCTCAAAGGGCTGCCAAGCGGAGCACCACACCTATATAGGAAACTAAAGGAAACCCAGGCATTGATTTTCTCATGGTTATCATGGCTAGTGGTATTGCTCGTGCACGACTACGACAACAACAGTGGAGTCACGCAAGATAGCAGCCATACTCCAGCTTATAGGTTGACAGAGACATGCAGCATTGGTTTATAGCATACTTCTTTGATATTGGACACAAAACAAGGTATCCACTGACCAGTATCACATGACTATATCACTGGCTCAAGTTAAGAGCTCATCGAGGTCACATGTTTTTTTTAAGTTGACTGCTGACCAAGTGCTGGTTTTCCGGTTGGATTGTGGGCTCATGTCAGTTTAACTTGTAAATAGTTGTTTGGAAGCCAGTTAAAGCTAACCCAGGATTAAAAGTTAACCAAAGTATCAATTTTTCTTGTATACAAGTGTTTTTCGCTACTTTAGTTTCGTGTAGTTTGAGATTGTTCAAACTCAAAACAGAAGGCCAAACCATATAGAGAAAACCTCAACGAAAAGTTACAAAACTCCAATCAAAATGCTCGCACGTCCTGATTTAGCTTAATTGAGCTTTGAACAACCCAGCTCAGGAGCTCCACTTTTAGGCCTGGCTAAATCTATATATTACTAAAAGGAAAACTGATCAATCGGTATACCACCAACAGCTTGCATTCAGCACAAGTGCCTTATCAAAGGTCATCTGTGTCAGTCCATAACTGGAAAAATATACAGCAAACACAAATAGTAGATTCAGTTTCACTTGTTTATGTGATGTCTGACCACATAATAATCTGACTAATGCCTTAAAATATTAACACTTCCATAACAAAATAAGTTCTTTAAAACTGTGTTTCTCTTATGATAAATAATAGTATTTTACTTGACCAATAGTTAATTGAGGTCGGTCCATCCTGTTTTAGAATTGCAATCTTTTGAATAACACTCTTTTTCTAGACAATTTCAAAAATATTTTGCAAGATTATCTCAGACTGATCCTCAGTGATCCAGGGACACATCATTAGGGCAGAGTAAAGATTAAAATAAGACTAAAATATAAGATAAATTAAAAAATAACTCTGATTTTTTTCTTTGCCAATATATTCTGCCCCTGGGTTACCAACATTAAGACAGACTTTCAGCAGAGTTAACTTAAGAATAATCTAGTTGATCCTTTGCTAATCGACATCTTCCATTGGTAACACCTTTACTGTACTGTCATTCTGACCACACACATCTCTACACCTTTTTAAAACCTCTCGTTCATTCTGACATTCGAATGAATTCATTCCCTCGCCTCACCCCCTCCCCCTGCTCCTTACTTTTCTCATTCACTCACAGTTTTGTTCCCTTTGCATGCTTTTCTGGAAATGCCTGCTACACAGGCTAATGACCATTGACATGGCNCTACCCAAACACTTCAAATTTCGTCAAAATACTCCAATGTGCATCATATTTTCAACTCTCTTCTCGGTGCTTGGATACCCCAATGAAACACTGTCTCCCGTGTTTGATATGTTACATCAAAAATCTTGACACTCTGCTCTGAACCACAATATTACCAGACTTCCCCCTTTCACATAAATTATGATCAAACAGTGAACATGGCACCTTTGAAAATTGCTTCCAAAACAGCAGTGACCTACTAGATAATTAGTAAACCTAAATATTTATATACCTTACTCTTTCTTCCTCCAGACTGTCGACAATAAAGCTTCTCTTCTGAACCAACTCTAGCAACTCTGACAGTAACTCTCGCTCCCTCTTCAAATCATCAGATGACTTCACTTCATCTAAAGATCAAACAGACAACAAAATTGATGCCGCTGTGATGTTTTTGTCTCATTGTCAAATAATGTACAGCAGTGACCGTTGTAAAAAAAAAACTGCCAACAAGAATCCCAATTTCTGCCATTTCTTTGTAAAAAGTCAAATCACAGCGAACAGCACTCTTCTGGAACCTAGACCCCTAGATCCATGTCTGCTTAAGACTCGGAGGAGCAAAGGGATTTTAATATTTGCGACGATCTAATCTTATCCAGAGTGTCGCCATCACAGGCACTATTATTTTAAAATCGTTTTCTAAGATTTAAAACCAAAATTTTATTGCAGTAAAAATGTTAAGTTTATAAATATTATTATCAATGGTAAATATCACTGTGACCACAACAGGGATCATGGTAACTTGTACAAGCCCATATTGCCATAGAAAACCTACTAACTCAGCTGTGGGAGAGACATTTTATTTGCAAACTGATGACACAGCCCCCAGTGTTCTGAGTCATGCTAAGTCCTGTAGTCATCTCCAATTTAAGTTGTACTAACCTCTAGAACCAATGACTGTGTGATGTTTGTGTTACATCAATTATTAGTAAATACATTTTCCTGTTCAACTAGCTAGAGGTCCATCTCAGGGATGAACTGAAGCAAGCAAAGCACATAATGGGCCAATGACTTACCTCTCATGGCCACCAGCTTTCTCAGTTCTCCTTCCACTGTTCGGTATCTCTCCTCATAATTGTGAGATTGCAACCTTAAAGGAGAATCATACAAACTGATGACAATGTATCTCAGAGGAAAGCAAGCTTAGCCCATTTACTTCAAAACTCTCTTGTCTGATTATCATACATTTCTTTTAATGTTAGCTATTCATGAGAATTTGGTGACACATCAAGACAATATCCCTAAGGTCACTTTATGTTTGTCACCTGTCTGCTTGACAGTTTGACAGTGGGCAGCCTCTCTTTTGTTCTAAAACCTGTGGGGATGAAATATGAAAATCCCAGGGGGACTCCCATACAAAAGGACAGGGTGCTTGTCTTACCTTTTAGGGGTTAAAAGCATGGTTTTGGTACCTCTTAGGGTGCTAAGGCTCAAAAGGTCCACAGCGGGAGCTTTTGCCACACCTTTTAGGGTATTGAGGTGAATTAAATAGGATAGGATACAATGTGTTGCTTTAGAATTGGTACCTGTTAGGGGTGAAAAACACTTCAAGTCACACCCACAAAACAGTGTCTTGGTACCTCTTTGGTGGTTCTTTTCAAAATTTCCAACAAGCATCCCCATCCATCTTATATGGGAGTTTCCCGCCTGGGGTGAAAATAGGAGGCAAGCTTTTTTTGTATTCATCCCCACAGATTTTAGAGGAAAACAGAGACTACCTGGAGTCTACTAGCTCGACAGTGTATTGAACAACATTAAATTGTATCCAAAATGTAAGCTCACTTCAGATTTAAATCTCACAGACTGATTAGAAGACTTGCCATTTACTGACCCCTAATTGGAGTTGTGAAGGACAAAAAATTAATCAACTTGTGGAAAAATAACATTGAAAAATTAGGGGGCAAAATTGGGATTATATTGCCTCTCCTAAGCAGAAACAATACAGAAAACATTAACAGCACTTCCAACTCTGCCTGATAACATCCCAACATCAAACTCAAAATTCTCCTTGTCTTAGGAAACTTTGTTTGAGTCCAGAAATGTTCTAAGATGAAATCATCACGTGTTTTAAGGAAAGAAGAAGTCAGGGATTGATCTCTGCACTGGATTTCTGCCAACAAATGATACCAAACTGTATAATGCTGGTTACTTACAGGTATATTAGTTCTGACTCTCTTCTCAAAATTATGTTTCGTTCATGAACCACACTAAGCCACTCCCGCAGAAGGTCATCTTCACAGTCATTGAAGGGTCTTTCGGCTATCAATTGAATGAATTCAAAATCCTGTCATATTCATTATATAAAGTGTAGAAACTGAATGGGCAATTTTAAGAACCAGATAAAGCATTCTCGCTCAATAGTCACTCATACTGATTCTGGTGTGTTTTTAACCAGCCAACAGAATCCTTTGTTTTCCTCCACCATGCATTGTGAGGACTTTGCAGACAATCACAAATAAAGCTTGTTTTAGTGCTCAAGTTGTTGTCACTGTGTTATAAAAGAAGTGGTTCATGCTTTTAGCTGTGTGTTAAACTCATCACAAATAGATGAGCTTGGGAACTGGTGCCTGAAAGGTTAGTGGGGAGCAGAAGCCGTAAGTGGAAGGGGAGGTATCCATGGCAACCCTGGAAGTGGGAACCACCCCAAAAAGCAGCCACTAACTGGCACTGCCACACTGACCGCAAAGATTCGCCAAAATACAAAGCAAATGATCTGCAACAATCAGCTGGCAGCACAGTACGTGCAATGCAATGTGACACAACAGCCCTGCAAATCTCCAAAGGGCCGCCGGGGAAACCGGACAGCACTTTTTGCCAAGCCCTGTAAGGGGCAATAAAATCTACTAAGAGATCATTCAATACTTACAGTCCATACTTTCTCTCAAGCTGTGCTCAATCTCCACACCTCTTCTTTCCAAATCCCTATGTAATGCCTCCAGGGACTGCAATTCAGAATCAATCTCTGATGGAGATAGGGTTATTTCCTCCTCTTTAATCAGGTCAGCACTATTAAAGCTGCCGCTTTTAGAATCACCCCGCAAAGAAAAAATAGCTTCTCTTTCTGCTCTGCTGGTTCTACTTTTCTCTCTGCCAAAGCAAAACTCACCCTCAACTTCCATCACACACTGATGTTCCTCTGCAATTCGATGATCCTCAAAGTCCCAAGGCTCCATGGTTTCAACAGTAAAAAATCGACTGTTAATTTTGGTTGTTGATGATTCTTGTGCAATGATGACAGACATTCGTGGAGAACTGCATGATGAACTTGTGTCAGTAAGCGAGGTTCTATTACCAGTTGATAAAGGAAGTGACCAAAGAACCTCTGGGGAATAATCACTTCCTGGTGACGATGGATGATTGGAGGTTTGCAGATCTCTGCTGGTTTCATTCAACAGTTGTTCACTTGGTGTCAAAACAGTAGCACCACCCCCGGGAAAAGAAAATTCTGCAGCAACTTTCAAATTTCCAGCCGGGACTTTGCCATCTGGTACAGAACTCAATAAATTACTTTGCGTGTAGGATGGCATGTCGATTCCACTGTCATGTGATGCTGCATGTCTTTTTAAACCTGGAGAACGTCGTTCCCCATTTAAAGACTCAGGACTAGCAGGTTCAATTTGAAGAGAGGGCACCTCATTGGAAACACCATCAGACTTAATAACAGTGTAAGCTTTTGTCTCATGAGACATACTACCAAGGTTTTCTGATGACAGTGGACTTTGACTGTCAGCTGCAACGTTACCTTCTGTTTTGCCCTGATTGGAATCAATATTTATCACTGCAATGTGTTTAGCTTCATCACAAGGCTCCTTTCCATCACTAGTAGTACCTTCCTCATCACCAGTAATACTATCGATATCTCTAGACAGAGATGAATTATCATTCACATCCTTAGATTGAGATGAATTCTCAGCACAGTTGGACTGACGTGAATTATCAAAATCCTTAGCTGATGAATAATTATCACCAACATCCTTACAAGACGCCAAATTTTCTCCAGCTTCAGGTCCAGTAGAATCACATTTTTCTTCAGCACCTCCTGTTGTAATATCTGTTGTTTTTGGTGCACTTGATTTCCGTTCTACACTCTTTGATGACTGAAATGATTTTGACCGCATCAAATTTGATTTCCCTCTTACAGCTTTGCTTTCGCTACTACTACCAGCCATGTACATTTTTCTTAACTCTTTGACGCTTCTGCGGCTTGCACCAAGGTTTGGTTTCTTGAGTTCAGCCGTCTTTCCTGTTCCATTTCCTGAAAGTTTTCTTGAGGTAGCAACATGAGAGTCTGTTTGTTGTTTCCAGGCAGAAATGCACCTTAGTTCTCTCTGAATTTCAACACTTTTCTTCGCTAGGTTGTTCTTGTGCTTCACCTCAATCATGTCATTGATATTGAGAAACTTTTCTCGCAGTTTCTGAACACTCTTTGGAGCCACCGGGGGCTCAATCTCATCAGAAACACTTGTCTTGTGTGACCCCACTGACTTTGTTGAATCACTGTTCACACTTGAACTATCCTCTGAACATTTACGTTTGTCACTGTTTGCCACGTTCTCTTCCTTAAAATCACTCTCACGACTGTCAAGATCACTTTTAGAAGAAATACCTTGTCCCCTTCCATCATTATCAAGTTTTGTTTCATCCTTGTCAATTGACGTTTTTGGTAAAACATCCTCACAGCCATTTAATAATTTACCTCCCTCAGTTACCTTACTTTCAGTTGCCCTCTTAAGCAACTCTTCTTTAAATGAAAAAAACAAGTTTGGGGAAGCCTCTTTCGTAGTCCTATCCTCATCATGTTTCTTCAATTCAAAAGGTTTTACCAGAATTTTCTTCCCTTCCACCTGTTCCTTATTAGATAACAAATCAAACTTTGGTGATGATGACACCAATGGAAGTGTGCTTGGCCCATCTGTATTCAAGGTACAATTTGTTGCATCACCACGATTATTTTCGACACTGTCACTTTTATCAGGTAACCTGGTAACAGGAGCTCGCCTTTTGTTCACTGGTGACCAAGAAGTTTTTTCCCGCTCCCTTGGTTCTCCTGAATTAACACCTTTCCCTTTTCCTCCAAGTTTGCCTTTAACCCTCCTACCACCAGAAAATCTCCTCTTCTTTTCTCCTTCACTCTTGGTCGCCTGTGACTTCTCGGGTCTGTTTGATGAATGTGAATGCCTTGGTCCCTTAACAGTATTAGTCTTCTTTTGGTTTAGAGGCTGAGGTAATGCAGGTAATGTTATTGCATTTCTTTTTACAACAGAAAATTGTCTTTGAAGAGGGCTTTTGTTGTGTTCTTGCTTGGGTGGTTTAGGTGAACTTTTATCAGACAGATTAGGGGAAGATTCAAGGGACAGGCTCGGCTGTGTGTGGGGTTCCTGTGACACATCTGTTAAAGGCTCCAGCTTAATTTTGATAGGTTGCTTTCTTGGAGCTGTTGGTAAAGCAGAGATAGAAATCTATTAGCTTGATTAAGTCCATCATTTGGTTAGTTGGCAACCTGATAACTACTGTTAAAACATACACGTAATGTGTTGTTCCAGAAAATATCCATTCCTCTCCCACAGAGGATTTTTTGGTTTAAACCCCCACCCCCACCCCACTCCTTTCGAAATTCCAGTTTTGGTTCATACTTTCCTTTAATTATGTTGGCTTTTGAAACTCCCCTCCCCCCTTGGAATTTCCAATAACCCTCCTTGGGGTAGATATGGATATTTTCTGGAGCCACACAATGATAGTTTTGAGCCAATCAGAGCACAGCTGAGAATCCAATCCGTAATTTAATGATTAATTATTACCTCCGGTACAGTCAAACAAACAGCAAAACTTCTCTGTTTCAGGAAAATAATGATACGTCCCAGGTCGAAGGCATGCACTGCACTTATCACATCTGAAACATGCTCGGTGAAACAGCTTTCTTTCTGCAACCAGCCTCTCCATTAGAAACACTCTACTGTGACAAATAAAACAATCATTTCCCAAGAATGGTGATTTTCTTGCCATGCTAGGAGACCGTTCTTCAGAAGTTCTGTTCTAAAGGGAACACAATTAATAGATCATAATTTGTACTTATTTGGTGATGATAGTTACTATTCTACTTCAAGCACAAAAACAGAATGAGGGGTGGTGAATGGTAATTGCAAGGAAGGCCTGGTGCAACTAGCATTTTTCTTTGCAAGCCTGAGAAATTTTGACTTTTTAAATTGCAAGACCAAGACTTTAAAGTGTTTTAAATGTGAGCACGAGACGTTCAGACCTCATATATGAAAACAAAGAAACAAATTGTGACTTCAAGACTTTTTTAGCCTTGCAAAAAATCAATATTCTGAGACATACAGCTTTGCGAAAAAATCAAGGGTGCGAGATGCACATAACCGCTCAAAAAACATGACTATGAGACCTGTGGAATTTGACAAAAAATTTGCATGCAACTAATGGTTTTTGAAGGATCACTCACCACTCCTAGAATGACAAACAAACAATAAACCCTGCTGGCTGTTTTCAACACTTACTGTCTCCAAGCTTGTTCTCATGGGGTCCACACTTAAGTATTTACCATGACTGTGAACCTGTTCCTTGCTCTTTGACGATTCCTCTTTGGTGTCTGACTTGAAAACATTGCGCAAGGCTGTAGCAACCCTCTTAGCGTGGCCGGACAGGAGGTAGATCTGATGCGAGGGTGACGTGCGCTTGCTGCCTTTGTGGCCTGTGGATTCACTTCTTGCCTTAGGCTGGATGTTCATCTTGGTGGAATAACCTTGGTTTGCTTCAAATAAATGAAAAAGGGAGTACGCAAGACATTAAGTACTTCCAGGCATTGGAACTCATAGGAAAATCAGATAGAAGGGGGATTTCAAAACGATTTTCAAGGAAAGTATGAAGTAAAATTGAATAATTCCTGAGGGGTTAGGGAAGGAGCTAGATTCAAACCAAAATCTCTGTCATGTTCCATATTCTGGAACAACATGTGACTAGGGGTGCTGTTCCTCTCAATGGGTGGAATACCAGTATCATTCTATTTCAATAAACATATCACCCAAGGGTACTCCCTTATATGGGCTCTATAGGTGTGTGATGCCCTAAAGGGTATGGTTTTGGAGCCGTTTTGGTCAGAAATAGGGTACTGATTTTGGCCATTTTGGTCTCAAATTGGGTACATGGTATTTGCACTTTAGTCTTGAATTGGGTGCTTTTTAGAAGCTAGTTTGTCGTCATTATCAATACGACCACAGACAAAGCCCTTCACAATGCCTTTAACATCAGTCTGAAGTAGGGATCTAATTATAAGGCAGGTCTAAAACAGGGTATTGATTTAAGGGTCAGATCTTATTAGGTTATCAAATTTTTGGTCAGGTCATAAAAGGGTAGGGAAAGTCACAGATTTTGGTCTCAAAATAGCGTAAGGGTTTTGGCAAGCAGGCCACACACCCCCACCAAACTTTTCTGTGAGTACCCCCCTGCCCCCAGGCAAATCACGTACCAGGAGTCTTGTTTTTGAAGTATTCACAGAGCTGCGAGACATATGTGATAACACTCAGCTTATCTGGAATGGCATTCTCTATCATGTCACTTGCATCAAGCACCATTGGAATACCAAAGTGCTTCTCAGCCATGCTAAAAGCCTGTCAAAAGAGATGTTATTCAAGTCACTTTGAAGCTTACTACAGTAACTATAGTCTTCCTGGGGCGAATCTAGGGAATTCAGGAGGTTCAGTCAACCCCCCTAAATTAAAAGAGCTCACCTCGTAGAACTTGTAAAAATACATATTTAATAAATGCACTCTTGAAATCCAACTACTAACAACGTTTTCTGACATATTTTCAGACAAATAATTTGACTTGGCCTTAGAAATACACCAAAAATCCCATTTCCAATGACCTCAATTTTAAAAATTTTAAGGGGAAGAAGGTCCCTGGATCCCCCAACAGGGGACTGCCTTTAATTTATCAGTACGTATCTTGAACTCCCTTCTCTAAAACACTTTACCCACCCCAGTCTTGTTATTAATTATTCCCATTATCTGCATTGAAGTTATCAGCCTGGTGTACCAGGTGCAACACTGGGCAGATATCGCCCTGATTCATCACTGTTTACACGTCACTTTTTGGAATTTCCCTTATTGAAATAATTATACAGCTTAAATAACTAAAGCATGTAAAATTCAATTACAGAGCAAAGTTAAAAACAAATATATCAAAAACACAGTTCAAATACATTTAGTGCATTCAAAAATATCTAAATCAATATTCAACATAATTTTCTCATATTTGTTACAGTCATTATTATGACAGACTTTGTCAATTTGTTGTTTCTTAAATTTAAACCCAAACAAGCAATACATAACTGGTAAACCTGGTCAATGTTTTTGTGTCTTTAGGACACCGTGAACAAGCCATGAATAACACAAACCTTCAAGAGGAGGCGTGGGGACGGCGGGCCTATTAGAAACCAGAAAACTACAAAACTGCAATAAATATCATCCAAAATCAAAAACCAAACTCTTTAAGGTTACAGTATACCTTCGGGTCGGCAATTTTTTTCAAATTTGGATTTTTGGGTCAAAATAGTGGTCGAAGAATAATCTCTAATTTCTGAAAAAAAAATTGAA